CACACCCTACTGGAGATCAGAGTTGCTACTGATAGAAGCACCAATATTTTGAATCCTTCTCTACAGGGTATGTATGAGGCTATATCCCAACAGAGGAGATATTTGTTAGAAGAAAAGTGAAACTGCACAAAGTTAGAAAACTGTAAGAGAGGGTGAAGATAAGGAAATCTGTTTAAATAAGAACCAGTCTGTGTAACAAAATCTAGATTTTTTCACTCTTAGGTATACAATGAGCTCCTTAGGATGAGAAGGTTTTATGAACAGATAGAAATATCTTCCAAGGAACTTATCAATTCTTTGCATATAAATGAGATTTTTAATGAGAACCAGAGAAACCTTTCTTAAAATGAGTCAGACTGGTGGTGTTTCTATTAACACTGGGTGGAGGGATATTTTCCTTTTCTCCTGATAGTTTCTAATGAGATCGTCCCCCCTGCATATCCCCACCCCACCACATACACACTGAAGAGTTATGTTTTATCATGATTCTGGATAAAAATGGAAGCAGGAGCTGTTACTGTTAGTGTAAATTCTAACCTAACCTGGTAGAGTCATACTGGGAATGAGTATTCTTGATGCATACTTTTAGCATTATTGGCATCTTATCTTCTTTGTTAAAGAACTAATTCGTGTCTTGTTCTTATCTTTGACTTCCCAAGCCTTCTCTTTACTTTTCTCCACAATTCTCTCAATATTTTCTAGCATTGTAATGATGTCTTTTCCTTGCTCTTAGGGCAATTCTTTGGAGTCCCAAAGTCTCTTTGCTACATATGGGTTATGTGTAATAAGACAGATGGAAAAGTAGAAAATTCAGTTTAAAAAAGATATACGGTTTTTGAGCTTCAAAACTAAAACAAAACCAAAAACCACCTAATTTAATTTGCTATTTTTTCTCACTGGAATGATTATTTATACAACAAAATTCAGCTGCAGTACAAGTTTCTAAATGTTAGAAATTATTTCTTATGTTTTCATTTCATCTCTTCCTCTCTTCCTTCCCCAATATTTAGCGTAAAGTCTTATTCTAAGAAAATGCTTAATACATATAGGTTGATAGAATGATCACTTATTTAGAAAATTGACTAATTTATCAACATGCCATAGACATTCTCTTGAGCCTTCAGAATAGTTGGAGGTTTTCCATGGAGACACGTGAAGGCCTTCGGGGACCATGGCATATTTATCTTCATCTCCTGTACATTAGTTAACCTTATTCTCTGCACAGTGTTTCCTATAGATAGGTGCTTCACTTCTGTTTATTGGATAAAAAATCAGTTTCTATTGTTGAGCAGTAGCTCCTCAATAAAGTTCTGTTATGAGAACTTGTACCACTAGATTGGATTAAACAAACAAACACAATTCTTGCTATATGATCTGGCCTTTTGCTATTGAGAATCTAATATAATAATAAAAGGTTATTTCCTTCAGGGTGTATTATCTCTCTAGCCAGATGCTCGTTGTAACATGAAAGACAAGCTCTTTAGAGCTAAAAAGGTCCCCCTTATGTGGATGGAGGGAAAAGAAAATGAAAACCACTTACCTGGCCAACATTATTTCATAGGGTGCTGAGGAATAAATCAGGCCTGGCATGACCTTCATTGAAATTTCAGATTTATTTACAGAGGTTTGTGCTGATCGCTTTATCTACCGGAGGCTCTGTTTCCCCTTGGTGACTCATAAGTAATGTGGTCCACGCAAACCCGTGTAAATAGAGCTAATATTTCAAGGGAGGTCATGCTATATACTCTTCCCCTGAGAATAGATGATGGCTGACTGCCGGGCTGATATGAAATTTATCTTTGTGTGGGAGAAGAGGGATTGTGTGGCCTAGAGGGCAATATCCAGGGCTTGTGCATCCTAAGAGGGGGCAAGGGGCATCTGACTCCAAGTGTGTTTGTGTTGTGCATTTCTACTTAGGAGCAAAGATTAATGAAACAAAATAATTCACTCAAGTCTTAAATAGTCTACAAAGTCATCATTGATTTTTTCCAATTTATTTGTGCATTTTTTCCCTTTGAACCGCTAAATCCAGTGGTCTCCAAAGAATAATTTGTACTCACTGGTAAATAGATCTCGAACCAGGTTGCCTCTATCAGTTATACCTATTCTTTCCCTTTTTTTTTATTTTTGATCTCTTTTTTTATTTTTAAATCTCAGAATATTAAACTTCTCAAAAGAAGACAGAATAATGGCCAACAAACATATGAAAAATTTCTCAACATCTCTAATCATCAGGGAAATGCAAATGAAAACCACAATGAGCTATCACTTAACTCCACTGAGAATTGCTTTTATCAAAAAGTCCCAAAACAACAAATGTTGGTGTGAATTTGGAGAGGTAGGAACACTCATACACTGTTGGTGGGACTGCAAATTATTTTCAATCTCTCACCACATCCCTTTCTTCCCTTTCTCCTAATATATTTTGTTAGGATTTCTCATGCATAAGCAGTTCCTTTTCCCCAACTCTACTTTGGCCTCTGCAATCAGCAGCCCTCCTCATTCACTGCTCAGAGATGCTCCAACATACCCGGAAAGACACCCACCCCTATTTATGTTAAGGGTGAATGTAATGGCTTTCATAAAATGAAAAAAATTTCTCTTTGTAAAATGTGTAAAATATAAAATCCTGTGTGTGAGGACTTCTGATCTCTGCTTTGTAATATATCATTGGATTAAACTTTATAAATGTCATTAAAACATCTAGAAGAAAGCCAGACGATAGTATTAGTCAAGAAATACATACCTAGCACATTCTGTGGCTGCGGTGTGTTGCTGTTAGCTACATGGGATAATGATATTGCCCTCAAATAGCTTACAATGTATTTGAGGAAACAAGACTAACATTTTTGGGGGAAACCCACTGAAGAACACAAGTCTATATAAAATTAGCTATGCAATATGGACTTCAGTGACATTCTAAAGAGATAGGTGGTCATGTCGCTCTCTTTAAAATCATCCTGGGGGATGAAGTCCAGACTCCTTTACATGATCTGCAAAAGCTTCTTGACCTGGCCTCAACTCATCTAACTCTATCTTGTTTATGGCCCAGAAACTTTATGTTCCAGCTTCACTAGACACCTACAAACCACTATTATGTTTATTCTGGCACTAGGAAGCTAAAGATAAATAGCCTGTATAAGATGACAAGTCATATTAGTTACAGTCATTTGACATGTAAGGTCCTTTCCAAACATATTACCTTATTATCTTTATCTTGATCTCTCAGCTTGGAATGCCTTTCATGACCATTGGTAACTGGAAAATATCAGTGTCTCAAATCCTCCTAGAGCTAAGTGAGTTATTCCAGCCCTGTGCTCAAGAAACGCTTCCTTCTACTCCATTGCATCTTAAATCATCTCTTCATCTCACTCCCCCAGTATACCATGAGCTTTTTGTGGGGAAATACAATGTTTTATTCACTGTGGAATCCCTAGTGCCTAGCACCAGAGTGTTTTATGGGTGTTATGAGTGAGTAAGTTCTTAGAAAGTGGCAGCATGATCTCCTACATGAATGGAGAGTGCAGTCACCTTATGAGACCTGACAGCCACTAAATAGAGCCCTCACACCAAGATATTCTCTTTGTCATTCTGCCTCTGTAGCAAGAAAATCTGCTCATGCTCCTTGGGGTTAAGGTTGCTTTGGTCCTGATGCTGTGACCTGGAACAAGTGACTTACCCTTACCTTTATCATAACACCTTGTATCATCATTATCCACCTCATCATCTTCAGCAAGAGCAGCAACAAGGCACATTTACTGAGTGCCTATGGGACCTCATGCCAGGGATTGTGGATACAGGCAGTCATACAACCAGTCTCTGCCCTGGAGAATCTCAGAAGTAATTGAAAATAGAAACAGATGCTATGTAACAGAACGGGGGTTTTCTATAGAATACTACTATTTCAGAGCACTTTGGAAAAGAAGGGGGTTTTGGACAGAAAAGTGGCTATGTAGACTTTCTGGAGATTTATAATGTACGATAATATGATAGAAGCTTTTGGCAGTTTTTTGATAAAGATATCCATTTAATCTTTTTAGTGAGATATAATTACATACAGAAAAATATACAGATATTAAATACATGGTTTCATGAGTTTTGACCAATGGATATGCTCTTGTAACCACAACCTCAAACAAGATAAAGAATATTTCATCAATCTAAAAAGTTTTCTCATAATCCTTGCTAGTCAATTCTCTTGCCCTTCTCTCCCCTTTCTGCAGGCAATTGCTATTCTGGTTTTTATTCCCATAGAGTATGTATGGTTTTGGTTGCTCTTAACACTTACTATGTAATTAAAAAAATTGTATATTAATATCACACATATTTATTATATTGTAGAATATACTTTGAAAAATGCTGGGTTGTCATTTTATAGCTTTCAATGGATTTTCATATCAATTATCTGATTTAATCCAAAATAATAAAATAAATGTCCAAGGAGTGATTAATACAGTGGTTGCCATAGGAATTTATATGCCACTTAAGGTTAGTTTGAATTAGGAAAGCTTCTCAGGTGTTGCCAGCCAAACTTCATCTGGACCTTCAGGATGGGTACAATGTAGTCAAGTGGGGAGAAAAAGAGAGGGAGTTCTGAGACACAGGAGCAGGGTGGGCAAAGATTGAATGATGGCAATGTGTGCTGTGTATCAGAAGAGCAACAGTGAGAATAAAGCAGCGGGAATGAAGCGACATTTCAGGCACTATATGTCCTTCTTCCCAGTCCTGATTCCACAGCTGTGTGCCTGGAGAGGTGCTACTTTCCTGGGTCTCTGTTGAGATACGTTTCCTGCACAGTCTTAGAAGTTGTGTTTCCTTAGCGTTACTGATAGTAACATAGACTTCTTGTAGGGACTGAGCTTACTTTGTGTTGGGATTGCATTTTTCTTCTCACACCCAGGAATAGTACATAGCTATCAACCAAGCTTTCTTTGTGTTCATTTTTATTTTAGTAAATATAGGAATCAGGAAATTTAGGAATCAGTAAATCAAGAAAGGGAAGATGTTCACATTTTTGTGCTTGAATTTTATTATAGGGGAAGTGGTTTGCAAGGATGTCTGATGTCTTGGAATTCATAGGAAATTCAATAATTTTTGTAAGGTGGTTTCTTTTCAAACCAATCTCCTTCTTCTCTGGTCGCAGGGCTGTGCTCCCAGGGGTGAACTTATTTCCCAGCTCTGGGATGTTCTGTGCTCAGACCTCCTCAGTCATTCAGAGGAGGGTGGCATTAGGGGAAAAGATCTGTGAACAGAAAAAATGCCCATCTTCATCAATGACCAACAGGAAGCTATCTTGGTTGGATGCCCCCTACATCCCAGAGAAATCCTTTCCAAACAGGTAGGTAGGATTCTTGGTAATTAATTTATCCAATGAGATAACATCATTTATGCTAAATCACCAACTTTGCCAATTTTTGGACAGAACTTGAAGCATTGGGTCTACTTAGCATTATTTTCCATAATTATTATAAAATTAGTGGTAAGGAAAACACAAGAGAACACATACATATACACAATGCACACAGATAATACATTGTATAAGCAATATGAAAGAAATGCAGTCTTAAATAGCAAGAAAGAGAGAAACAAATACTAAGTAGGGTCCGTTTTTGATGGAATAAACACTACTGCAGGCATATTTGGCAACTTCCTGTTTTTCTCCCTTTTACACCCCTCCTATGTGAGGCTTTGTACCCTCTTGCTACTTCCCAAAGCTCTCTGAACCTACACTGCCTGGTCCTGTGGTAGGAAGCAGCAGAGAGGAGTCTGTGAGAAGAGGGGATGGGCATCTTTTTAGATGAAGTCCATGCCCCATCCTTTGTTCATCTATTACTAGACACGAGAAATATGCATAAATCATAAAATAGTGAAAACCTTTCATTCTATTATGTATCCTTCCCCTCTAATTTCACAAAGAAGGGAACAGGTATCCAAAAAGAAGTGCTTTTTCAAGTTTGCAGAGTGAATTAGCTATAGGACCAGGGATGGTTCTCTGTTTCCTGGATTCCCCTTTATATCCCTTTGCCCTGCATTCTGGTGATTCATGAAATAAAGAAGCAGCGAGCATGTGTATGGTTTTCTACCCCAGGGAACATGTTGTTTTCTCCCTTTAGAACTCTATCCCCATGCCCAGCAGACTCCTCTTCATCACCCATGTCTAAGATAAAATGTGACTTCTTCATGGAAAGCCTCCGCTTAGTTCCAGTCTGCCACCATCCTCTTCAGTAGGACCCTGTCTTATCTTACCACATATTATCCTCCTAATTACCTGTTAACTGTCTGTCCTTCTGCCTGACTGTTCCTAATTACCTGTTAACTGTCTGTCCCTTTGCCTGACTGTGAGCTGCATGAGGGCCCAGTGCCTGAGGTATCATTTATGCTCAATAAATATGTGTTGGTTGAATAAGTGAATATGGATTGAGCTCTTAAGTGTGTATGTTTCTGACACACTCACAAAGACACAGCACATTTAGCATGTAGTCATATCGTTATTTAGTTTAAATATATATATATATATATATACACACACATATATATATAAAACACTATATTTTTTGGTTTTTGTTCTGATGCATACAACTCTGTCTAACTAAAGCAAAAATAAAATTTGATGGAAGGCTATTGATAACTCACAGAGGAGGCTGAGAACTAGGCTTGGAAGAAGGTAGGAACTGAGCCAGTTCTGGAGGAGTAGAAAGAGTAACAATGACTGCTCCACAGCAGAGAAAGCTCGGTCAAGGGCCACGTCTATTGTTAGTGAATTCCTACCATTTAAAATCTCTCTGCCACTGTGGCTCTTTCACCTGTCAGGGAAAGAGTACCCAATCAGCATGGGTTGAGTCTGCTCCTCGGCCCAATGGGGAAAGAACAAATCCCTTGAAAGAAGATCCAATTAGGAAAAAGGAATAAATGGTGAGTGACTGAGATAGAAAAGAAAAATAAGACACGTGTCCATTGTTCATTCGTATATAAACCAACAAACTACCTCCAGTTATTCTATGTTTTCACCACATAGGGTAGGTACTTTCCAGCATTTGGGGTACCTCTCAAAAAGGGATACCATATTTGGTTGAGATGTCAGCCTTCTCAATGAATGTGTGAGCTCCCACGGCCTGGCATATAGTTAGTCTATGGTAAATGTGTGTTGAATTAATGAAAGAATGATTAATAAATGGGGGAAGTGGTGATCATCAGAGACTGCTATCAGAGAGGATGGTAGAGACAGAGATATCATAAGGCAGAGATGGGCAGTAATACACATTCTACTTCAGGTTCACATTCAGTTTTCAAGTATTTCTCACAACCACCTTGTGAAATAGGCAAGATGGTTATATTCCTGATGTTACTGATGAAGAAATTTGACTTAGTGAGATTAAATGATTTATTCTGGGTCACAAAACTAATTATTTGCAAAGCTGGGATCAGAATATAGGTCACCCGTCTCCTGCTCCAGTAGTGGATATAATGGTTGAGTAATTTATTTTTTTTTTAATTCAAATGTTTGGTGATGGATGATAAGTCAGAGAGGAGTATGGGGTTTTGTAAAGGAACAAAAAGCATCTGAGGAAATTTGAAAATAATGAGTGGTACTGGAAGTGAGGCTAATGAGAAGTACCATGTTAATATAGGGCATGAAAATGCAGGGGGTATTGGGGTGTGTATGTGTGTTTAAAGTGGAGCATTTAAGCAGAGATTCTCTTAGAAATAGGATTCTGAGCCAGAGAGAAAAGAAGAAAGAATGTCATGGAATCTTCTAAAAGGTCCATTTCTCATTACTCCTATCCCTGGCTTCTCTTTGAGCATTAAGGGTTGTTTTTTAAATTGTTATGCTATAAGGAATTAAAATATTATCAAAATAAGTCCTTTTGATGTTTATATTATATAATTTACCCCCTCCCTGTAGCAGCAACAACCACAAAGCAACACTTATTAAAAAAAAGAAGCTTTGTGTTTCTGGAGAAACAGTTTACTAAAAGAGAGGAATTATTAAACACATATTCAAGATAATTTTACATTGAGTAGTCATATGGTACACAATTATTGCAATGAGATGAAGGGTGTTTCATCCCATTGCAATAATTCTGAATTCTTAGAAAGACACTGAATATCGACACAAACCTTTGGAGGGAATGTGGGAAGTTTCTAACATATTCACAGCACAGTTCAGGATCCTATGTCTTCAGTTTAGGGACAATGTGGATCATCACCCTAACAGCCTACGTAGGTGGGCTACCTAACCTCCTTTTGTTGTTTAGACAGCATCTGCTATTGTGGCGGGATAATGATATGGAGATCCCTCTCAACTCCCAGTTTTGGCAGGCAAAACAGTAGGTATTCTAGTCCAGAAGTTTATTTTCAAGCCAACTCATTCTCAACTTGTCATCTTTCAGCATTATTTAAAAATTTCCATTCAGGCTCCCTGGGAGGATTAATCTAAGATGGAGAAGGAAACAGGGTGTCTGAACAGTGGACACTTCTGCTCATTCCTAACGCAGACTGGAACTCCAACACACAAACACACATGATCCCTTTGGAGAATGAACTAATGTGTGTCAGAAAGGAGAAGGGCTAGGAAGAAGCGAGAACAATGACTGTGGTTAGTTCTAATTCTTGCTTTGTTAAAGATCAAAGCAAGTGGTTTCTCAGTGAAGATATTCGTGGAAGCAAATGGGTCAAAGAAAAGGCAAGAAGTAAATAAAGCCGAGGTAAATGGGGACCTCAGCAAGAGGTGCACACGACCTGCAGGCATCAGCCTGTGATAGAAAACAAACCCCAAAGACACTTTGAGGCCAAACAGCAAAGGAAATGATCAAGCTCCAGTCCCATTAGAACCCTGAGAACTTACCTCTTAAGACTGCTGTTTGGGGTGGGGAGAATATATGTCAGGATTCATTGTTGGCAGCCTTTTGATAATGAGAATGATGGTTTTATTCAGAGCATCAGCTTTAAAAAAAAATGTCCCATCATTTTGGCAGTTTAGAGTTTTGGCAACTAGTGTAAAAAAGAAAAAAAAAATCAACATTTAAAACTGGTAAGTTTTACCTTCTTCCTCCAGTTCTTTTAGCCCCAGTTTTTCTAAGGCAGAAAAAGAGGAAAACCGTCTATTCCCTGAACTTCTTGCAGATAGTCTAAAGAGGAAAGGATTCCTGAGATATATTCCTGAGATGTATGCTTTACCTTTTTATAGAAAGTAAAAATTAGCATTCAGACTCCTTGTTATAAGTCCCATTTTGATCTTTTTTTAATTGCCAGTGAAAAAGTAATGAAGAGCAATTCTAATTTAGCCGTGAAAGTCCTAGAAATTATTAAAAAAAAAAAAGACCAAGCTGATGGGTGCACTGCAAATGGTCATATCTTTTCCCTCCCTTCGAGTTCAACTATAGCTAATAATGGTATTGAGTCATTCTTTGAACTTCTCTTGGTGCCTTTCATGTGGAGAGTTCAAAGCCCTTTACAAATAATAAATAATTAGGTATCACAAAAGTCTTTTAAGTAGGAACATGAGAAATACACTGTACCCATTTCACAGTTGAATAATGAAAGCACAGGCCTGGAGCTGGGCATGGAAACAGTCTTCTCTGTGTCCTCTTCTCTTGACTTATTTTTCTCACTTTGTGGGCCTGTCAACCTCCCATGCACTCCTAGGAGAAGCCATTCACCATTTGGATACCATTGCTACCTCCTGCCAAACTCAAGGTTTAAGCATCTTTCCTTGATCTTCCATTTTCCATCTCTGACCATCACTCTTTTTTGCTTGCGTCCAAGCTCACATAATCAGTGCCTCTGCTACTTTGGGAAAATTATTTCATCTCCAGTGTACCCTGCACCGGACAAATCAGAATAGGGCTTCTATTCTCTTTTAAAAAACCAATTAACAAATAAGCGTTTCTTGGTCACCTCCTGTGTCTGCAGCAGTGGCCTGAGCACAGCAAGAGCTCTGGATGGAGCATACTCAGCTCCTTCCTAGGAGAAACTGTAGGCAGGTGAAGAGATAGCACTGACCCAGGTGCTATACCCAGGTATAGCAAAGAACAACACCAAGCCCTGTGTGAAATACCCCTTCATATGTTAACAAAATCCTAGGAATACAGGAATTCAGGAGAAAGGGCTGGTGAGTCAGACATACTTCTTGGAGGAGGTTGAGTTTGGTGGAGGTTTTGAAGACTGGGTGAGTAGAAGATGTAGGAGACAGAGGTATTCCAAGTCCGGGCTAAAAAGGAACCCTGGAGTGAGGAAGTGTCCGGCATGTTAGGGGACGATAACAGGTAAAGTTAGATGGTGTCTCTCTGGACATGCAGCATAGGCCCTTGCACGTGTTAGGTACTCAAGGAACTGGGGGGTGTGGCTGAGCTGCGGGCCATGGGGTACAGAGCTCAACACAGCCACTCTGCAGTGATTAGAAACTCAATCCAGTAACATGCAAAGAGGAGATTTTCTTCTTGGCAAGCAAACTAAAGGTAACTTTCTCTTAATGAAATTTTTTATCCTCATTTGATTTTAACTTCACTCTTATGCTGGAGATCTTGAAGTTTGTTTCAAGTGTCTGGAGGCGGAGGCTCTGCTCTAATATCTGAAGTATAACGCAGTCTAGGCGAGGGTTCAGGTGTAAATGAGTATCGGGAGCAAGAGAATGTTCCCTGTCCCTGTCGGGGTTTTGCTCAGTGTAGGCCTCTGGGAGGAGTTGAAATAGAGCTGAGATCTGATGTGGGTTGGTAGAGAGCAGGAAAGGGGTCTTGGGAGGAACGGAATGAGGACACACCGTGTGGCAACAGCAGGTAGTTGTAGGAGGGCAGGTTCACAGAATCAACTTTATAGCATGGTGAATGGGAGAGTAACCGTGAGATCTCCGGGGAGGGCCTGGGGACCCAGATCAAGTTTAAAGCAGAGTGTGCAAGGGGAAGAAGGAGACCTGTCAGCTACAACATCAGACTTTACACTAACTGGCACTTTGTCATTGCATCCTTATGACATCCTTGGATTTTATCATTCCATTTTGCAGATGAGGAATGTGAGAGATGGAGAGTTTAGAGTTTCCTCGATGATAATATTACTGTTTAGTATTGATTTACGTCTAGAATCTAAGGCTTAAGTCTTTTAACTCAGGGTCCTTTCTGCTAGCATCAAGCAGGGTGGGCAGGGGCCATTTTTTAGACAATCGTCAGGAGATGGTGTTTCTCTTTCTGATCTTGGGGTCAGAAAGAAGCAGAAGAAGCAGCCAAGAGCCCACCAGGCATAGCTAGTGAGTCCAGGCTCTGCTGGCTGGTGTCTCTGGCTGAGCTAGTATTTTAATGGTGTTTCCCTGATAGACAGAAAACTTAGTGCAGGGCCATGCACACAGTAGGTGTTCCATAAATATTTGTTGATGCCGCGGATGCAGTACAACTGGCTCACAGCGGGCGCCTCATACCTAATCGCCTCAGAAAGGACTGGGAGGAGATTGAAAATAAAAATCTCATCAATAATAGAATCTGTTGTTTTTCCTTCTCTGCCCAGGGAGACTTTGGTTCCTCAGTTGTCTTTCCAGTATTTTAAGATGGGAATAATTTTCACAGTGGCAGGTACAGCTGGTAAGATGCTGTTTTAATACGAAGGAAAATGCTAGAATAGAATTTAAGAATATTAAGAAGGGATTTGGTTTCTGACAGAAATATTAGCTGTAAAGGCCGGTATGAAGATTTTAGAGAAATTTAATTAAAATTTAATCTTCTTTCTAATTAAAGTTTCCTTTAATTAAACTTAAAATTAAATTTGCTTTAATTGGAGGAATTTAAAGGGTATTACCTTTTGAGTGTCAATCATTTTGAAAGAAAAAAAAATTATGCTGCTTTGTCTGGTTTAAAATGAGGATTGGTGTCAAATTTCTAGAAAAGTAATAAAAATACTGTATTTAAATATAAATCAGAACTCCTTGGTGTTTGGCTTTCCATTTTCCTGGGTGAGAAACATTTGGCTTGAATTGCAGTTTCTCTCTGCACTGGGGACCTATGGAGAAGGTCAGGTTTAGGCCACTAAGGACCTTAATGGGAGAGTTCCACATTTTCTCTCCCTTATTCACTTTCCTCTGGGAGCTGTCTGTCTCTTGGCTGCATAGCTCTAAGCCTCCCTCATGCCTTTTTTGGAGAACATGCTCAAACAATAAATCTTTGAAAATGGTCGCCTCCTGCCTTTCTATGGGGTTCCAAGATCCCTGGTGCTCATTCCTTCCTTCAAGCCCTTGTCCATGTGATGGATCTGAATCCTCTCCAGCCCCACCTGTCCATCACCTCAAAAACTGAGGCTGGAAATTGAGTTAATTTCTCCTCCCAGTATGGCTCCCTCTTATGTATTTTCCATTTCCGAGGACAGCATCTCATGTCCTTACGTCAGCCAGACTCAAAAGAAGAGGCCCTTCTTTCTCCCTTTATATCCTCAGCAGTCACCAGGTCCTTCAGAGGAGCCAGCATAACCATAGCTTCAGCTTAGTCCTTATCTTGTCCCTAGATGGATGAGAGCAATAGTTCCTAATATGTTCTGTCTACTGCTCTTCTCTCCCTGATCTATCCTGAAAACTATTGCCAAAGCATTAATCTAAAATTACAGCTCCTTGTCTGCAGAATGAACTCCAAACATCTAGTCCTGGCATTCCAGGCCTCCAATGGTGTGGCCTCAACTCCCCATTTCCATATTCATCTCCCATGACTTTGCTGACACACTTAGTCTGCTCTAGACATGCTAGTTTAGACACACCACCCCTTAAACACACCTGAAGCTTTTTGGCTTCCATGTTTGTTCTACACCTTCTTTCCAGCCTAGAATGCTTTCTCTTTCCCTGTCCTTCAAGACCCTCATTAAATTCTAAATCCTTTACAAAGCAACTCCTTATCACTCTGGCCCGGCATGATGGCTTGTCCTTTTGCAGTCTCTCCACTAACCAGTGCTTACATCCTTTATAAACATTTATCCTATGGCTGACAATTTCTAAAGTCTGGAATATATATATATATATATATATATATATATATTCCCACTTGATCTCCAAAGCAAGCTATGATGTATGCCACAGAAGTGTTATTATTCATATCTCTTATCTGACCAATTCAAGGCTCCAAAGGGTTTTGACTCATTCAAGATCTCACAGCTAAAGTGATGAAGAAAGAATTAGAACCTAGGTTCTCTCCCTGGCTACTTCACCAGGTCCACTTTACCTTTCTCTCCATCTGTGAGATGGCTTACAAAACTCTGGATTTTGGCTGCTCTGGTCAAATATTAATAGTTTAGATGCTTCAGAAGAGAGGACAAAGACCTTTAAAGAACTCAGATTTGAAAACTGTTGAGACTTGCTAATCTTTTGGTATTTTATTCAAAGTAAGTATGACACAAATAAAGATCTTCAGAGGAGGATAAACGACTGTCTACTGGCTTGTCATTGCTAATGGAGAGATACATTGTAGAGGACCTCTCTCTCACTCTATTTCCTTCCATCCTTCCTTCTTTCCTCCTCCCTTCTTCCTTCTCGCCCTCCTTCCTTCCTTTCTCTATCCCTCCCTCTTCTTCCCTCCCTCCCTATCTTCCTAGCTCATTCCATCCCTTTCTTATTTCCTGTTCCTTCTTTTGGAAAAGAAAAAAAGTGCCTGCAGTGAAAGACACAGAATTCTTCAGGACAAAGTCGTGGTTAAAACAATAGATAAAGTGGACTAGGCTTTTAGGTCACAAAATTAGAATTCAGAGCTGAAGTTTATATTTCCCTTTGGATACTTTGAACCAACAAGATGCCTGGTGTAGCTGTGATGTCTAGAGCAGGGCAGTCAGAGCACGGTGGCTAAGGTGAAGATTCCCCTGCAGCCAAGGTAGGTGCATCACTCAAGGTAGTTCTAGGGCCCATGGAGGCAGTTTTTTTTTTTTTTTACTCTAACACTGGGAAGTAATTCTTAAAATGCATAGGGTCTATTGTGTTTATGCCTCCCTTTGAAGGAAAGTGCCCTCAAGAAGTTCTTGTACAGTTGCTAGGGCTCCCGTTCTGAGTGTTGAAAACAACAGAATGTGCTCTCCTACCCTTGTCTCCACCATGAACAGGCTGGACATAAAGGAGGCCAGCCACGATACCTTCTGGAATAAGGCATGCTTCATATTAGAGGGTAATGAATCAGTCCAAACTTATAGTCCTCTTAGTGGCTCCCTTGAGGTCCTGATGAGTCCTGGAGTAGGTGAGCTACTTTCCTTGAGACACAGACGTCCTGGGACCCAGAATGGCTCCATTCTGAGGCCCCTGAGCCAGTAGTTGTCTTGCTGTTCTGCTTCTTTTTGTGACCTCATAATAAATGGTCATTACAGAAGGCATCTGGGAATGTCTTTTCTTAATCATAATAGCCTAGTATCCTGATTATGCCACTTTATGTCTCAAAGTCTTTCAGTGCTTTCCAGTACCTTTCGAATTATGAATGATCAAGCATGTTTTGAAGACTGCCTGTCATTGACCTATCCTTCTAAACGTCCCTCTATTACTCTTCTAGATTAGGAGTCAGTAAACTCTTTCTGTAAAAGGCCAGGTAATAAACATTTTAAACTTTGCAGGCAGGACCCACAGTTTATGGCACAACTACTCATTTCTCTGAAAACAGCCATGACCATACAAAAGGAAGGAGCATGGCTGTGTTTCAATAAAACTTTATGAACGGACACTGAAACTTCATATAAGTTGACAAATTTCATATAATTTTCACATGTTATGAAATATCAGCCTTTTCTATTTTCATCTTCGTTCTAATCACTTAAACATGTAAAATTCATTCTTTAACCACAAGCTGTGCAAAAACAGGTGTTGGGCCAGATCTGGTCTATGCCCAGTTTAGCAGCCTCTGCTTCACGTAGGTACTGTGCTCTTGTCCCACTGGGCCACTTCCACACCCTGGAGGTACCTCTTGTTTTTTCACTTCCACACTGATTTGTGTTCTTTTATATGATGGTCAGTCAGGACCAGCCACAAAGAGGAGACAGAGGAGAGTCTCAGGAAAGCAAAGTTTAATATATTCACAGATCCTGAATTCAGGAGCACAGCATGCTCAAATAGGAAAGACACCAGGGTGGTTACAAGGCAGAGGACAGGAGTTGGGGAGGGGCTGTGGGAGCCCTTAGGTCATGGCCTTCATTGGGATTTCCCAGGGAAAGACAAGGCAGGGCAGAATAGATTATCTAGGATTGGCTTATTTGAATAATTTCAGTGGGCTTTGGGCTATGGGAGCAGCCCCTAGTTATTTGGTACCATGGTCTGGGATGATTTAAGCAAAGTGATATTGCCTATTAGGGTGCAAGGGCCAGTTAGGAGGGAGTGTAGCTCTGAGTTGTTAGCTTGCCTGTCCAAGGCATGCTCCCAGTTGGGCACTTTGCTGTCTCTAAGAATTGGCTAGCTCAGGCAGGAGCAGTCAGAAAAGGTTTTGTAATATGTTAAAACATCACAATATATAGAAAATTCAAAAATGCACACACACCATACATGTTGACATTGGTCTCTCAAACTAGAAAATCTTATCCTCGGTCCAGGTTTGTCAATATTCTGCCTAATAGTCAAAGTCTGGATCTAATATAGAGTTGAGATTAACTTCCAAATTTTCTATTCTCTAGCCATACTGGAAATAGGAAGTGGTTAGCACTTTGAAATCAGACTCCTTGGATCTGAATCCTGGCTTCACTGCTTACCAATTCAGTCGTCTTGAGCAACCTAATCGTATTAAGCGCCATCTGTAAAATGGAGATAATAAGAGTACTCAATGCACGGCTCATTGTAAGGATAAAATATTATAAGCAGGTAAAGAGCTTAGCACAGTACCTGACCAGGATGAAGTAATCTGTCCATGTTAGCAGTTCTCAGCCCTTTGTCTTAGGCTCTGTGCTGAATGGTGTACTATCTCTCTGGAGTTTAGAGAAGAAACAATTTTGTAATGAGAGCAAACTTAATGCAATATCCTTTGTTTTGGCAAATGTCTTCAACCTTACATGTGCATTTTAATTTCTTCCACTTGGTTTAGAAATAACTTAAAAGAACAATTGTATTTTTCCTCCTTTGTCTATGCTTCATCCCCATAAAGGAAATGTAATTTTCTTTTTTTTCTATATTTTTTTAAATTTGGTTTGTTATATGTGGTGATAGAATTAATGCAGTGTCTTCCTTTAACAAAAATTTATGCTCTCAGAGTCTTATCGTACCACCACATCTTGGTTTGGGTACTAGAGCCATCAATTTATATCATTCCAGTTCCAGGAATAATGTTGGTTTATTAATTCTTTCTGTGGAGTATAGAAGCAGGGCCAGGAAACTCTGCAGAATTTATTTCCTTTCACTTACCTTTTGATAAAGTATAAAGAACATCAGGTAATTAGAAGTAGGAGGGTAAGATTTTTTTTTTTAATTTAAACTCATTTAAAACCATGTCAGATACAAGTTGGAAACAAGTTTAAACTTTTTGAATTCAAGTGTAATTTTTCATAATCAAAGATATTTGCCTTCGATGGGGACATCATCTATTATTTCATTCATTCATGGAATTTAATGAGCACTTAGAGATCACCATTGATAGGTTGTCTGGCGGGGGGAGAGATAGGTGAGAGACAGTCCTAGTGCTCAAGTGGCTTTTAGGCCATAAAAGTGCACAGCCATACAAAGGAGGAACCCTAACATGTGGCAGAATGAGGTGGGTGCTCTGAGTTCACAGCACTGTGAGGTGGGAGGGGGTAGCTGATAGTGATGGTGCAATAGGAAAAGCCTCAAGGCAGCTAAGATGGGCCGAGGAGAGGTGAAGGTGCCCCCCAACCCCCAACTAATGGAATAGCAGGAGTTTAACAGTGCGTGACAACTTTAAGAGAAAAGAAAAACAATGGTTTATATACAAATAATACATATAGGGATATAATGAGAGATGGGACTGAGACATCTATGCCTACTGTTGAAAAGCTCATTGCATCCTTTCAAAGACTTTACTCTTTAGGAAGAAGGCAAGAGAATCTAATTGAATATAATAATTATCTTTATAATTCAGAAAATGTCCAGAAGATATTATTTATAGACCCAGATATGGAAACCTGAAAAAAAAAATCCTGATATTTCAATGGTAAGTTGTGAAGCTGGTCACCATCACATAACAGTTTCTAAGAAGAAAGCTGACCTACCTCTTGGAAGGCACTGTCAAATCATCTCACCCTGCCTTAAGTCAGAAAATCATAAAATAGTCAGAGAAGTTTCGAATAGCAAGGAACTATAGAAGTTCTCCAATCCAATATTTCTAAACATTTTTTTTGTGTGTTAATTTCTTCATCTGTGAAACATTTTTATATGTAGATTTCTTAAAAAATGCCACAAGATTTTCCAGATTCCCCACATAGCAGTTGCATTCACTGATTTAAAAATTCATAATTATAAAAAAAACCTTGAATTACTGCTAAATGAATCTGAATCTTATTCATCACCATAATCATATTATGTTAAAGACAAATGGTCATAAATGTGTATATAAAATAAGTTATTTGTGTAGACTATGGACAATGCTAATACCCAATACATTTGTGGTCTCCTTGCATAACTTGAAGGGGGGAGTGTCCTCCCACATTTCAGGCCTCTGGTCCTTTTGCCTCCACAGAGTCCCACGAGTAGCTTATCACCAAGTTAGCTAGTGGTAGAGTCAGGAAAAGATTCCTGAAAGATTCAGTGAAATTCAGCATTTATTGCCCAAGCATTTCCTATGTGATTCTCCTTGTGCCAAGACCCCCATGGGCACAGAAGAGAGCCAGAAGGCATGACGCTTGCCCTCAAGGAGTTTGTGGCTTGGTTGTTGCTCAACAGGATATCCTTTCTATTATCTTTGGGGTTTGTTCTGGAAGGATTCAATCCTAATTCACGATATGAATTAATAAAATAAATGTTTAGAAACATGGGCAAACAGGCCTCATGTTTTTTTGAACCATGGATTTGGTTTGTAACTGAAACCTCCAAACACAACATCTCAGTTTACATGCTCTCCATTCCACCTCTCTCAAACAGCCTGCCCAAAGCTTCAGTGATGGCCTTGCTCTGGTCACCACCAATTCCTGTAAAGGATGCTTGGGCAGTAGCATGACTGCTGGTTCTCTTGGAAGGAAGACCACTGTTAGTGTTGTTGTCTTGGAATTCAAAAATTACAGGAACAGTGTTGAATTGTCTAAAGTTTGGGTGAAGCTTTGCTGGACTTGAGAAGAGGCATTAAATGAAACTTGAGGGAAAGCCACTTCTAAACAATTACTGAATCAATACATAATGCTGTGGTGAAAATGGCATAAGGCTAGATGCTTGAAGACTGAGATTTTTCCTCTTGAATTTTTAGTTCCCTCATCCGAGTGGTGGTACACCCAAGTGGTGAAGGATGTGGACATGGGAAGGAGAATAATGGGGTGCAAATCCCAGCTCTACCTTTCCCTAGCTGTATGGCCTTTGTCTCCAATGTCTGTGTGCTAATGTCTTCATCTGTGAAATGGATGAAGTTCATGGGTAGTAATAGTGCCTGCATCATATATTAGCTAATATATGTGAAACACTTAGCCCAATGCCTCTTGTTAACATTCAAAAAAGTTAGCTATTAATATTGCTATAAAATAATAAAGTTTGTATTCTCTGACCTTCAGAGCTAGAACAGTGGCATTAGATGAGTTTGAATTCCAGCTCAGTCACTTACTCACTGGTCCCAACTGGGTGATCTTAGATAAGTTTTTTTTTTTTTTCCTTTAAGCCTTGGTCTTATTTTCTGTAAAGTGGGGATGATAATAACTACTACATTGTTCTGAGGATGAGATGAAATGATGACATGAATTGCTTAGCACAGTGTCTGACATAGAGCACATGGACAATAATTTGTACTCATTTTGATTTATAATAGCATTTGATGATTGTGATTTTTTTGGACATATTTACGATTGGCTATACTATGTGGAAGTTTTAATGGTAAATGTTTTGAGGTGTCATCTGTCTTCAAAGAACTTTACCATCCTTACTAGGAAGGTATACCAGAAATACAAATAATTAACAATATAAAAGTAAAATACATGTCATACAAAAGATGGAACAAGCCAGGATATGATTAACTGACAAATGTCTTATGAGTTCAAATAAAGCAAAGACCCAGCAAAGACCTATGATTCTTTTTTCAAGACTTTATCATGAAAATGTATTCTTTGGAAGTTGGCAGCAAGAAACTTTTCACCTCGCACAAGTATCAGGGATTCTTCTTAAAGTGAACGAAAAATGAATAGCAGTTT